TGTGTGTTTGCAGGTGCTCTGCCAATCATCTCCAGTGAAGCAAATGGAATCAACTGACTGGGCTCCTCCCACATCATCTCACCACGGGGAACTTTTTCAGGGAACGGCAGGGATCCTGTGGGACTTCCTGACCCGCTGCTGAAACCAAGAAGCTTTCTGTTTTTAAACTGAGATTTGCATCCTTTCATAACCTTGTTTTGTCTTCATTTTCCAACAAACCTCTGGCGTCGGACTGCAGGCCAGCAAACACGTGCACAGCTGCACCTGCACTGCTTTAAAGAATTGAGTCGCACAATAAGCTAGTTTGTAATGATTTTTGAGTACAGTGGCTGCAGCTGATTTCCTCTCACCTCTGCCCCCCATGATTTTCACTGTGCACATGACAGGCCCGGCTCTGCAGCACTTATTTCCTTTTACTACAGGGGGTCAGCCTGAAATTCCCTAAATGTGAATGAAGCCACTACACGGAGTTTGGAAAATGATGAGCAAACAGTTGTGCTCCTTAAACAGACATCAAACATGTTTCACACGTGCACTGTGCAGGAGAGCAGGGCGGGCTGCATGTCGCATTAATGTCCTGGATGACAAAGGGAACCGAGCCCCTGCTCGGAGGAGGACGTGAACGCCGTTTGGTGTCCTCAGCAGTAAAATCTTCCCCAGGTTTCACTAAAAGAGTCATTCCACTACCCCCGCTACCATTGGACACACAAGGCCGTCTGTACAGCGTGCAGGCTGACGGCGAGGAGGATGCACAGACGACACTAATACAAGCGTTTACCTCGAAGACGTTTGACTGGACTCGCTCAGTGACGCAGGTCAGAGGAAGTCCCTGCTGAGCTTCACGGCTTGTTTCCAGTTGTGCTGTCCTGGACTTTGTCCCTCAAATGTTATGTAAACTGGAATCAAATGGAAGATGAATCACGTTTGTAATTAAGTGAGTTGATGAGCTGTGTCTGATATTTAAACGCTTCAAAGGGATCAAATGTATTTGATGTGTGCATAGGAGGGAAGGTGGTGTTGGGCCAGAGCTTTGTAGTGATCAGCAGGACCTTTTTGTCTTCTACCTGTGTGATAAATCCTTTATTAAACGGGAGTCATTCCTCTGGTACGTTCTTCTTCTCAGCTGTGAACAGTTGCTACAGACGTCTGTCCCCGAACAGAAGCTGGCAGGTTATAATATTCATACAGTATCAAACCGCTGCTTCTAATTACAGCCAGTTTTATGGTCGCAGCAGCAGAGCTGTGACCCCTCGACCGTAACAGAGCTCACTATAACTCAGGGGTGTCCAGCTCCAGGCCTGGAGGGTCCTGCAGGTTTAGATCTGACCCTGGGTCAGCACACCTGAATGTCACAGTTCATTCCCAGGTCTCTGGAGAACTTCAGGACATGTTGAGGTCATTTAGTCATTTAAATCAGCTGTGATGGATCGAGGACACGTCTGCAGGCCCCCCAGGCCTGGAGCTGGACACCTCTGGTGTAACTACTGATATTGTCACCCACTCCCACTCAGTCTGATTTAAACTTCATCATCACTCACGATGCAACCGGAAACCTGCACCTCCCAACACGTGCAACCACACGCAGCCCGCAACGCCTGAAAGGCGTGGAAGGTCCTACGGGTCATAGATTTCCCACAGTGGAGCAACTCCCCACCAGCTGTGATCATAGCTTTGAGTCTGTCTTCACGTGTCCCAGCACCAAACACACTTATTCACATCACCAACACGGTGCAGCGTGGACCATCGACGAGTGGCACGCACCGTTTCTGCTCTGGCAGCTCCGTATGCTCCGCCCCTCCTCCGCACACGCCCACATCAAAGTGCAACCTGAACTGTAGCTATTCTCATCCCACCTTCACACACGTATCCTGTTTCTGCGGACCTTCCTTTGTCGTTCTGTCCCTCCACCTCTGCAGAGGCTCCACCCTAAAACCTTTGACTGTAGACCTCAGCAGGTCTCGTGTGCCCAGCACTTTCACAAGCGTCTGTGTCCCTGCAGAGCACAGCTCTCCTACCTCCCATCCTGCGTTTTCTCCATAGACCATAGGTGTCAAACTCTGGCCCGTGGGCCAAATTTGGCCCGCAGCCTAATTACATTTGGCCCGCGAAGCCATAACAAATGACTATCAGAGCTGGCCTGCTGGTATCAGACAGCTAATATATATTGTTTAGTATTAAGCTTTGCTTGTTCCATATTCAGTTTTTCAGCACAACGTGTTTGAGTCCAGAAGAAAAGATTCATTCTCATATCTGGAGGAATAAATATATTTAATAAATATTAGCGTTAGCCCGCGACTTTGTTCCAGTGTTGAATTTTGGCCCACTGTGTGTTTGAGTTTGACACCCCTGCTGTAGACGGTGCAGTTCCTGTACTCCATCAACACCCAAGCAAACGGCTCTGCTGTTCCTTGGTGCTTCCTCCATCTCCAGTGTCACCACAGATGCTGACCGCCCTCCATCAGCGACATGTAGCCGCTGCTGCTGAGCTCTTTATAGATGAGCTCTATGACAGAGGTGCTGTCACCGCCATCTATGGGACGAGATCCCGAAATAAAGGAATGAATCACGTCCGCAAGACGAAATGTGAAAGACGGAGGTGAAAGTGTGAAAATGGGAAAAACCAAACGATTAAATGTAAAAACAAACAAACAGGTTCATGTGAAATCTGTGATAACGACAAACAACACCAAGCTTTGAATTGTGTAGTTTTATTGCTGTTGTGAGGCTGCAGAGCTGCCAGCAGCAGCTCTCAGCAGGCAGCGCGATGCGCGGCTTTAACGCTGCTGTCAGGGAGCGCTGGCGTTCATCTTCTCCTGGCAGCCGTCCCAGAAGCTCTGAAGTCTGTTGTCTTTGTTGCTGCAGAAGTCGGTGAAGTCTCTGAGCAGCCGGTCCGCCAGCCGCTCGTCGCCCAGCACTCCGGTTCTCCACGCTTTGGTCAGCATGGTGTTGTAGGCCCAGTAGTAGCCCACCCTCTCCTCCCCTCCGAACGGGCCCTGGCTGTTGGAGGTGGTGGAGTTTCTACGGCGGCGCTGCTGCCCGCTCGAATACTTCCTCTTAGCGTACGGCAGCTGCAGGAACACGGTGCCTGAAACGAGGCGGTGAAACTGGTCAGCTTCCCACAAACACAGTGGGTGTCTGTGCTGTGACGGGACTAACCTGTGACGTGGATGTACTGAGGCTTGTTCTCAGACGGGAAATTAAAGGTGGAAGCAGAAAACTTGTCATGCACGAAGCCAAACCTGGTAGAAAGAGTACAGTGTTCACACAAACGTGAAGCATGATGGAGAACGTTAAGCTGAAAATCCTAAACTCAGGGGCCGAGTTGTAAACGTAGAACCACACGATGAGCGCTGGCTTCACGCTGCCACAGAGCACAAACCTCACAGGAAAGTAACATGAAGCAAGCGCCTCTTTCTTCCACACAGCTTCTGATCGTTTCATCTCCTGCCCCATCACGTGTTGGTGTTTACTCGAGTCTGTCCGTTTAGATTCACGGCTGTTATAAGTAACCATGTTTAGAGTTAGCAGCTAAAGCTAATCGGCTTGTATCCAACGTCAAGTTGGCGCAACAGGGTCAACCAAGGTTTACAAGTGAGATTCAAACACGATAAAGCCGTAGATCGCTAGAATAACAGGAAGTCAAAGAAACACTGAAATGGCTGAAAGAGCAGAACATTCATGAATCTAACGCTGTGGAGTGTTCCTAACAGATCAAAACGAGAAGCAACAGAAGAGTAATGCAGGGCCTGAAGAGGCAGAAACGTCACACTTTCTTTACATGTTTAGCCCTGCAGCAGCTAACGCAGCGCTCCATGTGTAACTGACAGCACAGTGCAGACAGCGACTACAACCTGTAGAGGACGGCCTCCTGAAGGAGCTGCATCCTGTCCCAGTACGTCTCCGGTTCAAACCCTGTGTGATGACAGGACACATGTTGTCACTGAGCCACATGGACGCACACGAAAGACTCGTTCAGAGAGGCGGGAACCTTCAAAAAGGTTGTCGCTGCCATTCTTCAGCAGGCAGTGGACGTTCAGAGGAATGAAGAGCTGCGCTCTCAGCGGGTCTCCGTACAGGCAGGACGTCAGAGCGAAGGGAACTTCCAGCACCGGCACCAACAGGAAACCACAGGACGCCGCCTTCCTGTGCCAGCCTTGGACCTGATGGACAGTGACCGTTAAAACCTGTGAATCAGACACTTCCTCTGGGCTCATGTAAAGATTATGGCTGCCTGACGGCTCTTATTTTTCACACTCTCAAAGCACAGCAGTAAATCTGTCACACCGTCACTGTGCTCCAGTGTTTGTAGCTGTTCTCTGTGGAGCTCAAACGTACGACCTGCAGCTGTTGTGACGGAGGTCCACTGTGCACAGCCACACAAACGATTCCCTTTACTTGGCCTGGTTCATTCATCACATAATGACACAGTGACACTCCCACAGACAGTGTCTGTGCTCTCACAGCATTCATGTTTCTATTCTGCTACAGCAGCACATGTACATACTGCACGTATACTCTGTGCACACCATGCATCAAACAGCTGAGCTGCAGTTTGGACGTTAGAGGGATGCACACGCTGGCTTTGACTGCAGCGCTGCTTTGAACCAGGACACGTGCTTACCATTTCAAAGAGCACTGCAGCAGTGACGGCCATCCAGTGCAGCTTGATCTCAAAGGCAGCGTTGAGGGAGAAGTTGCCGTGGTAATAACAGCTGCACCACTCAGTTCGGTCACTGCGGTTGTTGACGTCCACGTCTAGAGTGACCGTCTTCTGCTCTGGAACTGTAGCAGCTACAGGACACGTGGACAAGGGTGGGAAAACAGGAAGACGGGAGACAAAGCAGCAAAGAAAAGGAGAGGCTGAGGCATGATGAAGAGCACAGCTGCTGACGGCTTCATGGACGACCCTCCAAGGCTGGATCGACACTGACTGACACTCTGTTTTCTAGATTACACACCAGCTTTGAATAAGTATTCATATACAGTCTGGTATGTGAGCCAGCACTTATTACCAACTAATGTGTTGATATATTATTTTTGTTTCTTAATTCTGAATATTTATATGTAAGCCTGAAGCTCCAGATGTGGACCGTTTAGTGCACATGGCTGCACAGATACAGGAACCTCTGCAAACTGGCACCAGCTTTATCGCTGTGCTAACATTCATGTTTCCAGGTACGGGCGCATTATTCCAGCTCCTGGATGCA